TAGTCAACTAAAACTAAACCAAAAACTGAAAGTGTGAATATATTAAACTAAATTTAAAAAAAATCTAAACTAGACTATATAAAAAAAAAAAAATTACTTTGTACTTACAATCTAACTAAAATAAAAATATACAATTCATCAACACAAGGTACCTGAAGATCCTTTGGTGCATTTGTTTATGAAAACTGGGACAAGGAAATTGTGAGTGAAGCCTTTGTCCCTGTTAAAAGGTGTTATGGACTTCTTAAATCCTTTCCCTGACAAATACCTCACTGTCCGTCAGTCCTGCCTCTAAACTCTTTGCCATGGCAAGATTTAAAACACACAAGACACTGAATAGCTTTGTCTTTGATATCTGTACTGTACATATTTATTATAAAATGCTGCAGTACTTTAGCTTATGTTAAAACAAGCTATTTATTGATTAGCAAGCCATGCTAGGCTAAAGGATACTGCTATTCAAAACTAGCAAATTAGCATGTTAACGCTACACTCTGCTCGATAGCTAAAACAATAGACAAATATTTTCATCACATTAACTTCATTGTACCTCTGTCTCTGTTATCTTTTCCCCCTCTTCTTTTCTTTTTGTCTTCTTCTGTTTTGGCAGTTTTGACATTGTCATAATGCTTTCAGGGGTCACAAAACTCAATACCCCATTATTATATTAAAACTAAACCAAAAACTGAAAGTGTGAATGACTATTATAATAAAATGAATTAGGAATAAATAAATAAATAGATGCAGACTATATAACGTAATTAAATTTTATTATCTAAAAAAATACAATTCCAGAGAGCAGGTTTAGTCTAATAATATTATTATTACTGTACAGTTAAATAATGTGGGATTATTTTTCCAGATTAATGGTTAATAGTATTTATAGTGAAAGTCACACCTTTTTTTCCTTCCCTCGCTTGTGCTGCCCCCTGGTGGGCTGACTTTGCATACCATGGTTAAAAACTGTCTCTGACACTAATATAAATCACAATAAAGCTAAACGTTTCCAAAGAGTAAATACTAAACTAAAACCCCTCCCTTCCTTCCCTCCCCATCTCCAGCTGCCTCCCTCT